ATGCTGGGGCTGCGGGGGACCGTGGGGACGCTGGGGATGCTGGGGACCCTGGGGACCCTGGGGACCCTGGGGACCCTGGGGACCCTGGGGACGCTTGTTTGTTTTTTTTTTTTTTTTATTTGCAAACCTGTGAGCTAGTTCAAAATGTGGTATTTAGGGGTTTCTGCTCAAGCAGGATAATGAAATTTGTAATAAGATATTCAGAGGAAGGTGCCTCCCTTTGGCCTTGCCAGTGCCCTGTCTTCCCAGACCCCTTTTTCATCTGGGAGGCATCAAACGGAGCCGGGGGGTCTTGTGAAACCTGTGTGTCAGAGAGCACAGCCCTAACCCATCCCACTGCCGCATCCCAGGCGGTCGGTTTGATGTTAACCCCACAGACCGCGTGGGCGTTAAGAGGGTCTGTGTATTCCCAAGCAAGCAGCTGGAATGTCTTTGCCAGCTTTCTTACCGAGGTCTTTCAGCCGAACCGGGCTGGAAAGGCAGCTGGGAGCTGGGGAGCTGGTGGCAGGCGGTGTCCTCCCCCGGGACCAGGGGCAAAGCTTCCCCCGGCAGAGCGCAGGGTTCAGGCCGTGCCCGTGGCTTTGGTAAACGAGGAGCTGGTGCTTTACAGAGCTGAGTGTAGTACTAGCTCGGGGTCTGCACTCCGCTTGCACGGGGGCAGGTGCCCACCCGGGGCGGCGCGAGAGAAGCGGGACCCAGAGGATGCCAGGGGAGCATCGCTGCCGGGAGAGCCCCCGCAGCTCCCCAGGGGATGGGGATGCGAGTGGAGGCACGTCCTGGGTTTACGGGCAAGGTGTTGGGACCTTGCAGGAACTGGAAATACAGAGTGAGCTTGGGGAGGGGGTGTTTTGTCTTGTTTCAATTTTTAGTAGAGCCAGTTGAACCTTTTATCGTGTCCTGTTTGAACACAGCGTTTTTAGTAGCTTTAATAAGTGAAAAATGGCGATGCAAGAATTGCAGGTGTCGAGGGGGAAGAAAGTGTTTGTGCCGAGATTCTCTCCTGTGCCTGCAGCTGCTAAGCAGGTCGTGCTCTGTGGTGCGGCGCTCAGCGTGCCGGAGGGTTGCTCTCGTCTGCGAGTCTTCAGATGCCTGAGCAGTGTTTGCCCTTCTCTTCCTTTTTTGTTTTTAACATATTTCGCTACGTTTTGCTTTTGTTTAATTTTCATAACTTTAATTCATGCTTTTTTATGTTTTGTTTCTTTCAGTTAATCACACACAGACTTTCAGGCCAAGAGTGGACTTGGTGCTTTCATGTGTTAAGTTGCTTGAGTTTCCCACCCTGTGACCCTTCTCATAACATTGTGTGAGTGGACCAAAGTGAAAGAGAAAATGAGCATCTTCGGTGGTTGCAGCGTAACGACTCGCTGTTATCTGTACAGAATTTATCAGGAGGTTTTAAGGAAGTAACCTTACCACGTACATTTTGTTAAACAAAGTCAACTAATCCCTAAAGTAAGATGTTTTGTTCTAAACCCAGTGATTGAACAGCCGTGTATAAAGTGACCGTAACTGTTTGTCTGAACTCATCTTACTCACCAGCTAAATACTTGCTTTCTAGATCTATTTTTTTTTTTTAATTGGCTAAGGTGGCTGACTGAGGCTCACCTACCTTCCCCTGTACATGCACAAATGTGAGAAGCGGTATGAAGAACGCAGAAACATTTATTTTTCTAACAAAATTCTCGATTTGAATAAGTTTTTTAGAATGGGTAGACAAACACAACGCTTAGACTTTCTGCCCTGGGAATGTTAGTCTGAGTAACCCTCGTTCCAGTAATTACATGTTTTAATCCTGAAGTACTTTAAACACTTTCTACATCACTTTTTTATATATATATAAAAAAAAAAGAGAGAGAGGTTAATAAAATTCATGGGACAATGTTTTGAATTTTCTTTACTGCTAAAGTAGAACATTTATATAGAAAGATTTTTCATAAGGGTTTGTTGTATAATGTGGAACTACAGGATTTGTGTAACTTGTCATTTACCAATGTATTTTACTGCTGTGGAAAAACTATTTAAGTGGTCATCTTTACTTTTCCTCTTTAACCTTAAACTTATTATGTGCCTAATAAGGAGAATCCCCTGATTTTGAGCTATGCACCGTATTTATGCTGATAGGCTCTATTCCTCTTAGAAAGTGCTTCCTTTAACACTCCTCATGCCTAGAAATCACAGCCTTGTTTTCCTGGCTGACCGAGCTTAGAGGAATAATTAGGATCAATATTTTTTCCCCCCCCCCACTCAAACCATTTTGTGATAAGGCAGGACGATAACTGAATAGAGACTTGTTGTCACGGAAAAATAGTTGGACCCAATTCCATCCATCCGTCAGATAATAGGCTAAAAGAAAGCAAATATTTTATATTAACCCCCACATAGTATCTTTAGAGTTTATAAAAACACTGGCTGGCTAAGTGTTAGTTGTGAGTGTGTGCATTTTATTTAGTGATTAATGTTACAGGATTTGTCTGATGGTTTGGTTTTTTTTTTTCTTAAAGACTTGTCTTTAAGCTAAGATGTCAGCAAATTCCTTATTTGACTTGCAGATGGAGGTGCAGGGCCTTGCATCTGAGCTGTTACAGGTCTGTTTGAGGGTAGCATTTTGCTGGATCGTAAAATGAGGTTCTTTAACTTGCATATCCCATTAAAGCAGCTTTTTTTTTTTCCCCCTAAGTACATGCTCAGGTGTTAAACTGTTTTCATATGGACATTGGCCTTTTATACAGATATATTGAAAATCACGTCAGTGTTACTTGATGCGTGTAAGAAAGAACCTCATGAAGATCTCGCAGGCACCTTGTAGAACAGGCCCTTTTTCAAAGAGTAGGAATTATGCGCACTTATTAGGAGTCTGCTGAAAGCTGGACGTTTCATTTTTAAGGCTGTGCCTCCAGGTTAGATGTATTTTAAAGAGTAACTGTCAAATGTTAGGGAGGGTTAATGTGTTTTTCTCAGAGAAACGTACAAGGAACCCAACCTATTGTTACCCGCAAGAAGGCAATTCCAGCTCGCCACTGACTACAGTCCAATCATGTAGCAAGTTAGGGGCAGGATTTTGAGTTTCGCTAATGAGAGAAACTCTGGTGCACTAATCGCATGAGTAAGCAGCGCTATTTGGTTCATTGCTTTGCTTCTCAAGGCCAGTGCTGCGAAGGCTGGGAT